TATAGTGTTGATCAGGCAGAGCTTTGTTGCCAGCGTTCCATTGCATAATAGCTTCAAACACGTATATAATAGTGTTAGTTTTTACGTAAACCATTGGATGAAATTACACAAACTGAGTGAGCTCTAGTTAAGGCGCTTTCAATAGTTTGTGTGTGTGTGTGTGTGTGTGTGTGTGTGTGTGTGTGTGTGTGTGTGTGTGTGTGTGTGTGTGTGTGTTTGGGGGAGGGTACATTGGAACTTTGTCCCCCCCAGTTTGAAAATCCTATCTGCGCCCCTGATGCAGCAGTCTTAAAATTGCAAAGCTTCTGAAGTGTGATAATCGAACAATCAAGCGTTTCATTCAAAATAGTCAACAGGGTTGCAAGAAGCGTGTGGGCAAACCAAGGCGCAAAATAACTGCCCATGAACTGAAAAAAGTCAAGCGTGCAGCTGCCAAGATGCCACTTGCCACCAGTTTGGCCATATTTCAGAGCTGCAACATCACTGGAGTGCCCAAAAGCACAAGGTGTGCAATACTCAGAGACATGGCCAAGGTAAGAAAGGCTGAAAGACGACCACCACTGAATAAGACACACAAGCTGAAACGTCAAGACTGGGCCAAGAAATATCTCAAGACTGATTTTTCTAAGGTATTATGGACTGATGAAATGAGTGAGTCTTGATGGGCCCGTGGCTGGATTGGTAAAGGGCAGAGAGCTCCAGTCCGACTCAGACGCCAGCAAGTTGGAGGTGGAGTACTGGTTTGGGCTGGCATCATCAAAGATGAGCTTGTGGGGCCTTTTCGGGTTGAGGATGGAGTCAAGCTCAACTCCCAGTCCTACTGCCAGTTCCTGGAAGACAACTTCTTCAAGCAGTGGTACAGGAAGAAAACTGCATCCTTCAAGAAAAACATGATTTTCATGCAGGACAATGCTCCATCACACGCATCCAAGTACTCCACAGCGTGGCTGGCAAGAAAGGGTATAAAAGAAGAAAAACTAATGACATGGCCTCCTTGTTCACCTGATCTGAACCCCACCGAGAACCTGTGGTCCATCATCAAATGTGAGATTTACACGGAGGGAAAACAGTACACCTCTCTGAACAGTGTCTGGGAGGCTGTGGTTGCTGCTGCATGCAATGTTGATGGTGAACAGGTCAAAACACTGACAGAATCCATGGATGGCAGGCTTTTGAGTGTCCTTGCAAAGAAAGGTGGCTATATTGGTCGCTGATTTGTTTTTGAATGTCAGAAATGTGTATTTGGGAATGTGGAGATGTTATATTGGTTTCACTGGTAAAAATAAATAATTGAAATGGGTATATATTTGTTTTTTGTTAAGTTGCCTAATAATTATGCACAGTAATAGTCAACTGCACACACAGATATCCCCCTAAAATAGCTAAAACTAAAAACAAACTAAAAACTACTTCCAAAAACATTCAGCTTTGATATTAATGAATTTTTTGGGTCCATTGAGAACATGGTTGTTGTTCAATAATAAAATTATTCCTCAAAAATACAACTTGCCTAATAATTCTGCACTCCCTATATGTATATATATATATATATATATATATATATGTGTGTGTGTGTGTGTGTGAGATTATATACATATACATATATATGTATATATATATATGTATATACATATATAAATGTATATATATATGTGTAAACACACATATATATACACATACATATACATATATACATGTATATGTATATGTATATATGAACTGTATATACATGTATATGTATATATGTGTGTATTTACATATATATATATATACACATATATACATATATATACAGTGGGGCAAAAAAGTATTTAGTCAGCCACCGATTGTGCAAGTTCTCCCACTTAAAATGATGACAGAGGTTAGTAATTTACATCATAGGTACACTTCAACTGTGAGAGACAGAATGTGAAAAAAAATCCATGAATTCACATGGCAGGATTTTTAAAGAATTTATTTGAAAATCAGGGTGGAAAATAAGTATTTGGTCAATAACAAAAATTCAACTCAATACTTTGTAACATAAACTTTGTTGGCAATAACAAGAGGTCAAACGATTACTATAGGTCTTTACCAGGTTTGCACACACAGTAGCTGGTATTTTGGCCCATTCCTCCATGCAGATCTTCTCGAGAGCACTGATGTTTTGGGGCTGTCGCCGAGCAACACGGACTTTCAACTCCCTCCACAGATTTTCTATGGGGTTGAGGTCTGGAGACTGGCTAAGCCACTCCACGACTTTCAAATGCTTCTTACGGAGCCACTCCTTTGTTGCCCGGGCGGTGTGTTTGGGATCATTGTCGTGTTGGAAGACCCAGCCACGTTTCATCTTCAAACCTCTCACTGATGGAAGGAGGTTTTGGCTCAGAATCTCACGATACATGGCCCCATTCATTCTGTCCTTAACACGGATCAGTCGTCCTGTCCCCTTAGCAGAAAAACTGCCCCAAAGCTTGATGTTCCCATCCCCATGCTTCACAGTAGGCATGGTGTTCTTGGGATGCAACTCAGTATTCTTCTTCCTCCAAACACGACGAGTTGAGTTTATACCAAAAAGTTCTACTTTGGTTTCATCTGACCACATGACATTCTCCCAATCCTCTGCTGTATCATCCATGTGCTCTCTGGCAAACTTCAGACGGGCCTGGACATGCACTGGCTTCAGCAGCGGAACACGTCTGGCACTGCAGGATTTGATTCCCTGCCGTTGTAGTGTGTTACTGATGGTGACCTTTGTTACTGTGGTCCCAGCTCTCTGCAGGTCATTCACCAGGTCCCCCCGTGTGGTTCTGGGATTCTTGCTCACCGTTCTCTTAATCATTTTGACCCCACGGGATGACATCTTGCATGGAGCCCCAGATCGAGGGAGATTATCAGTGGTCTTGTATGTCTTCCATTTTCTGATAATTGCTCCCACAGTTGATTTCTTCACACCAAGCTGCTTGCCTATTGTAGATTCACTCTTCCCAGTCTGGTGCAGGTCTACAATTCTTTTCCTGGTGTCCTTCGAAAGCTCTTTGGTCTTGGCCATAGTGGAGTTTGGAGTCTGACTGTTTGAGGCTGTGGACAGGTGTCTTTTATACAGATAATGAATTCAAACAGGTGCCATTAATACAGGTAATGAGTGGAGGACAGAAAAGCTTCTTAAAGAAGACGTTACAGGTCTGTGAGAGCCAGAGATTTTCCTTGTTTGAATTGACCAAATACTTATTTTCCACCCTGATTTACAAATAAATTCTTTAAAAATCCTGCCATTCATGGATTTTTTTTCACATTCTGTCTCTCACAGTTGAAGTGTACTTCAACTGTGTTGGCTGTTTTTGACGTGATTTTTTAGTGAGGCTAGCTGGGTTTGGCTAAAACATGTTACCATTAAACTTTTGTTTTGAACTTAGTTGAAATCACTCAAGGTGTGTGGGGTGGATGACCCTCTGTCATGGTCCACAGCAAGAACAGACTGGTACTGCAGGGTAACGATCCCCGTCTCATTGCTGAGAGTACCGTTACAGCACTATTCTTTGTGGTTTTACTTTGTCTGGTCTTCAGAACCAAAAAGCTTATTTCTGCTTGACAACTTTTCTGGATCTGAAGTTTGTGTCCTTTGCCCTTTTCTGTTTGCTGTTTTCTTTTTTGCAGAGTAACGAGGGCTTTTGGTAATGTTTGCTGTCTTTAGGGTTCAGTTAGTCTCAAGCTGGAAGAAAGTCTAAAAACTCAGTTTTTCATTTAATTTTTATCAGGTTACACAAAACCAAATTACATTTCCAAAACATTTGTCAGTTATTTTTTCTGCAGCTTATAAAACCAACAGAACAAAAAAGTTTCTCCCAAAATATTTACATAAAGCTTTTATCTGACCCAGAAAAACGTTTCAAACCGTTTAAAGGTCGTGATGTCAAGCAGAAAGAAACTTGATCAGTTTTGGATAACAGAACATCATAAATAAAAGTCTTTGAAAAAATAAATGCTCACGCTACCATAAACATGTATGTGTGTTTGTTCAGTGTGTAAGGATGGTTAAACAAACTTTTGTTTAAAATTTGCTAAATAAAATGCTATGAATCTACATCAACTAATACGAAGTAGACGTATAATATTATATTTTGTGTATTTTATTTAAAACTGGCAGAGTTTTCAACCAGCTCAGATATGAGCATTGATTAAAAACTTTCAGATGAACTATTCAAACTCATTCAGCACACCAGGCAAGTGAACGCATCACGACAATGTGCATCATTGTTTTTCTCAGTTTCTTGAAGTGAATCAGAGTTTAATGTTTACAAATAATCTTAAAAAATAATTTGAACTTATTTACGAAATAACTCATCAAAGAAGAGAACAATCGTTGGGTTTTAATTTGTAGGATGCCTTTAAATGGGGGCGCGGTAACGTGCTTGTTGTGAAGTGACGTAGGACGTTACGTAAAGACGAAGTAACGGGCGGAAATTTTCAAAATGGAAGAAATGGCAAAGTTTTGGAGGGGAACTGGTGAACTACGTGTATTTACACTCTGAGAGCTTTTTCTCCACGTCTCCATGCACTCGTTCGATCGAGGAATTTTCTTACATGCCTGCATGCATCCGCAAAACCCAAACCCGCCACGATGAGTCTCTCAATCGGCGACAAAATCGAGGTGAGCTCTATTGTTAGGCTAACGCCTACATGCTAATCGGGAGTGCTAGCACTGGATTAAAGACTGGGTTTAAGTCGGATGCATTTTCGGCTGCACGAAAGCATATGAATCGAAGCTATGCTTAACTTCGTCCAATAAATAAATAATATGTTTTAGTTTATTAAATCTTTCTGTGGATAGGTATTTAAACTGCTCCTGAATGCGGCATACATTGCTAGCTAATTGCTTTATCTTCTTGTATTATGTTGTCACTATTAGTATAATAATAATAATAATAATATTATTATTATTAAGTGTTAAGTATCAGTATTCATGTAGTATTTATACTTATAGTCATGATGTCTCAGTGCGTGCGTGGCTGCCTTCCTGCTAATGTTTTGTTTGGGTGTGAAACCTTTAGCCTCTCCAGGGAAATCAGTGTGGGAACAACATCCTGCTGCCTGGTAACGAGCTCCTTTAGCGGCAGGAAAGCCGGGCTAATGAAGGGTTTTGGTTGGCCATATGACAGCGTCAGGTGTTAGTGGCTTGTTTGACAGTTACCGTTTGCTGTGGGGTGATTTTGCACCCATTTGGGGTCGTTAGTGGCAGAGCGAACATCCAGGATGTCGCAGGTTACCGGGATGGTGTTTGATCAGATTAGGCACTATTTCTATCAAAATCTCTCTGGAAACTGGATAGTCAGGGATGAGGAGGAGCTTGTGTTTCACAATGATGAGCTGAAAATTGAGGTATTTGCTTTTAAAACTCTAGAAATTGTGATCTTATGAAGAGATACCGTCCTCCCTTCATATAATCGGGCAAATTTCTGCAAAACTCACTGCTGTTTTATTTTTATTTAGGATTTTAAGGTCCTCACACTCCTTGGTAAAGGCTCATTTGCGTGTGTTTACCGAGCAAAATCCAACAAGACTGGACTGGAGGTTGCTATCAAAATGGTAAGATAATTTTTCATTTTCTCTGACTGCTTTATTTTAAATGTGGACGCTGCTGCTGCAGCAGCTGACAGTTGAAGTAAAACCTGTATTTGTTGGATTATTAGACCATAGGTACCTCCCTTGGGCATCATGTGGTCCCTGAATGCCACACAGGTCCTTATGTCAAACAGATTGGCTACTGGTTAACCGATCTAAACACGCCTGCAACAGCACCGTCCCACGTTGCATCCTAATCCTAAGGGTTTCAGGGGTGTAATCATCTCTTTTGTTCTCATTTGCAGATTGACAAAAAAGCAATGCACAAAGCTGGTATGGTCCAGCGTGTGACTAACGAAGTGGAGATTCACTGCAGATTAAAACATCCATCCATACTTGAGGTAAATTTGGCCTGCTGCTGATGCTTGTTTGTTTGGGTGCTGTCTCTTTGGATTGTTTATAGATATTACTCTATATATTATCAATAAAATGGGTTTTGTTCACATGCAGATCTTGTTATGGGAATGCAACTTTTTTTTTCTAATTTCATTTACTGCTAAAACATTTCTGGATAACATTTTTTTTTATTATAACAGCAATTATGTTTAATCTGCATGCACTCTTCTTTTGCACCATGCATTTTTAAAGCTCTACAACTACTTTGAGGACAGCAACTATGTGTATCTGGTGTTGGAGATGTGTCACAACGGAGAGATGAGTCGATACCTTAAAGAACGAAAGATGCCTTTCTCTGAGGATGAAGGTCAGGCAGATGTGTTATTTTAAACAAAAGCTAAAGAAGCAGGATTTATGCTGCAGCTGATTGACTTTTCCTTATTTATTCTTTTCTTCTACAGCGAGACATTTCATGCATCAAATAGTAAAAGGCATGCTGTATTTACATACTCACGGCATCTTGCACCGCGATCTGACCTTATCCAACCTTCTGCTGACCAGCGACATGAACATTAAGATCGGGGACTTTGGCCTCGCTACTCAGCTCAAGCTGCCAAATGAAAAGCACTTCACCATGTGTGGGACGCCCAACTACATCTCCCCGGAGGTGGCCACTCGCAGCGCGCACGGCCTGGAGTCGGATGTGTGGTCGCTAGGATGCATGTTCTACGCCTTCTTGATGGGTCGGCCTCCGTTTGACACGGACACAGTCAAGCACACCTTGTCTAAAGTGGTTCTTGGGGACTATGAGATGCCATGCCACGTTTCTTTAGAGGCTCAGGACTTGATCCATCAGTTGCTGCAGAAGGACCCCACTCTGCGGCCCAGCCTCTCTGCAGTGCTGGACCACCCGTTCATGACCCAGAGCCTGCTGGTCAGGACCAAAGAGTTGAGGCTGGGAGATGAGGGGTCCATAGACAGTGGCATTGCTACCATCTCCACGGCATGCACCTCCTCCACCTCAGGCAGCAGTGGCTCCCGTCTCCACAGGCGAACTAAACACATGATTGGTTCCGCTCTACCCAATCGCATGGCACCTATTTCAGTTCTTCCACGGCAAGCTAACAGCGGATGCTTTGATGACAGAGAGCAGCTGCAGGATAGTTTTTACAGGGATGGAAGGAGCAGGGCAGCTTATGGGGGAGACGGCGGACAACCTCTTTCTCGGTTCCTGAGGAGGGCTCACTCGTCTGAACGCAGCAATTCTTCTGCACCGGGACACGCTTCATCTCAGGTTGAGCTGACAAGATGTCATTCTGAGGAGACGCTGACTGGTGTAGGGCTGCCCATCTTCCCAAGTCCCCTCCCATTTCCAGAGCATGGCAGGCTTCCCTCCCCTCCAGTCAAACAATCTGCTAAGTAGGAATTCTGTCCATTTAGCAGCTTCTCTTTATGTATTTATTTGCGAGATTAACATCTGCTATTTTTTTGTTGCAGCTCTGGTTATCTATCAACAGAGCCGGCACTGGAAGGAGTTTCTAATTGGCTGAACACTGAAGGTAAAATTAGCCTTGATCGTTTACTTGTGTCATGCTGCTGGTGAAGTGGTCCTAACTGGGAAATTCCCTCCTTGTGAGACTGGATTTAATAGAAGTGTTGTAAACTTTGTTTTCCTTCTCAGATATAGGTCAGAGATCCACAGATGGCAGCACTCACAGCAGCAGAGGACCTTTAGGGGTACACAGTTCCTGGTCAGAGCCAGTGGGACGAGGAACGCACCCTTACCACAACAAGCTTCCCGCCAACCCCGACTCCCATAGAGAGACCTCACACGGAGCAGAGTTCCAACCTCATCACAGCAAATCCAGCACAGAGAAGCAGAAGAAAACCCTCCCAGACATCGTCCCTCCTCTGTGTGCGTCCAGGCTCAAGCCCATCAGGCAGAAAACCAAAAATGCAGTAGTAAGATTTGGCACTTATTTTTGTTTTTGTTTTGGGAAGCTTATGCCTAACTTAGATTTGTTTTCCCCTGTCCTACTGACAGGTGAGCATCCTGGACACAGGTGAAGTGTGTATGGAGTTAGTAAAAAGTCAAAACGGACAAGAACGAGTGAAAGAAGTCCTACGGATTTCCTGTGATGGACTGATGGTACGATTATTGTTTTTTTCGTATGTGACAGGGACTTGGTGACACTTCTAACATACTAAACGTAAACGTGTTCCAGGTGACCATCTACCAGCCCAATGTGGGAAAAGGTTTCCCGGTGCTCGACTGCCCCCCAGCTCCACCCGAAGATATACTCATCTGCAGCTACCAGGACCTTCCAGGTACATGATTCCTTCACTCCCAGCATCGTTAACTCGATCAAACATTAATAATTATCTGTTTTTCTCAGAGAAATACTGGAAGAAGTACCAATACGCCACCAAGTTCGTACAGCTCATAAAATCCAAGACTCCGAAAGTCACGCTTTACACCAAATACGCTAAAGTGATGCTGATGGAAAACAGTCCCAACGCCGACCTGGAAGTCTGTTTTTATGATGGTGAGTAAAGAGATGCTCGGTGTGATTCTCACTGAACTTCTGGCTGAACTGACATTTTTTGTGTGTTTTGTGTAGGAGCAAAAACCCACAAGACGTCCGAACTGGTGCGAGTGGTGGAGAAAAGTGGGAAGTCGTACACAGTGAAGGGGGAGGTGGGACTGAGCGGCTTGAGTCCAGAGAGCAGGATGTACGTGGAGCTGTCCGAGGAGGGCTATAGCATGTGTTTGTCACTAGAGGCCGCTATAACAGCAGAGGAGCAGCGGAGCACCAAGAAAGTCCCTTTCTTCCCCATAACTATTGGCCGGTAAGAGAAAAACATCCTTTATTGTAAAGAAAATTGTTTTTGTTATTGTTGAGGTAACTTATTGTTATCTGTCTTGATATTTAGGAGACCTGCCAGCTCAGACTCTCCATCCACGGTGCCTGTGCCATCACAGCAGATGCGTCCAGATGCAGCTTCACCTCCTAAACCCCCACAAATAACTCCTTCAGTAAGTGTCTCACCCCTCAGATGGCATCAACAAATATTTATGACGAATTTCCCATTAATCTGTATTTACCTGATCTGTTCATTAGAACTCCATCTCTTAAATGTAGCTTATAAAAATATCTAGATGAGGTCAAACTCTGGGAGCCTTGATGCCAACAATAAATTTGGAGCATGGAACGCGCTCACAAATATTTGATTTGTATTTGTCCCCCCCCCCCCCCCCCCCCCCCTCCCCAGATGATTTCCTACGACGGTTCTGATTTCACCACCGCCAGCCTGAATAAGAAATGTCCTCCAACGCAACAGGAAGTGGTTCAGAACACAGGAAAGGTGGTTAAGTCCATTTTTGTGCCTAATGTTGGATGGGCGTCCCAGGTAAATGGCATAAAAACTATGGGTCAGCCATATTTTAACATCAATATTTTTGGTTTATTTAGCCTATCATACGAGGTTAAGAAACATGGGAGTTAATTTTTCAAAGTCATATTTTCACAATGTTATTCATATATTTATAAATGTTAAAGATCCAAACTAAATATATTAATATTTAATTTTGAGGTAAATATAGTCAGACTTCAATATCCAGTTTGTAAAATTTACTAAACAAATAATTTGGGGCAAAATATTTAGTTTACAAATCAAATTTTTACTTTACAAATTCAATTTTAGTTTACAAATATTTATTTTCCAAAAATAAATATTGAATTAGGATCTAAACAATTTGGTTTGCAAAATCAATATTTAAGTTTTGGCCCAAAATAAATATTTAACTGGGATCTAAATATTTATTTAGGGAAATAAATATTTCATTTAGAGGTGAATATTTGGTTTGTAAACGAAACATTTAGCTCCAAATTAAATATTTAGTTAGTAAATTAAATATTTATTTTACAAACTAAATATTATTTAGATCTGACAAACATTTGGATTGTAAAAATATGTTTTAACTAAATATTTAGTTGGGAACTTAAAGAGCAGGTCAAGTGTGCCTCGGAGTCCTTCTCCACCCACGTATCAATTTTAAAAACTGCAACATTAGTAGACGTTGCCTGGAGGACCGAGAGGGCGAAGTGACGAAGACGATGGCTAACTAGACGATGCTAGCTCCCTTCACTCTGAGCAGTCATTAGAAGTGGAGGACGTTTCTCCCCCTCCTTACCCAGACACTCGAGAAGAAAGGAACCAAGTCTATTTGGAGGAGACAAGCGGACCTGAGCCTTATTGTTTTGAGCTTGTGAGTTGCCTGAAACTACCGGAACCGACCCAAGAGAACCAGCTCTGAATGGTAAGTAGCCGTTAGCCATAGAATTAGATTAGCTGCAGGGTTTGGCTCCACGGCCCTAAAAAGCTAGTATTCAGCATGTTTTAGAGGTTTATCTGCTTCAACACACCTGGTTTTAATCAGCAACAAATAGCTGAGCTGCTGAACAGCTAATCTAACCTGTTAAAGGAGGAAAACCACTGAAACGTGCTGGATAGCAGCTCTCCAGGAGCCCTGGGCTTAAGTTAGTCTACTGCATAGAAAGTTATGAAAATACCCCATGAGAAAATTATTCTGTAATGTGTTCAGCCCACTAAAACTGCCCTAATTTCATTTTTTATTTACTGATACCAGCTGCTGTCTTGGTCGTAGGTGATCCTCAAGTGTCTGCAGCTGATCTCCTGCTGGTGTCGTCAGGGTCAGGAGCTTCCAGAAGAATGTGCCTTTCAATGACTCTTTCCCCCTTATTTGTTATATTAATTAAATAAATCTCAATTTATATATTTCCTGTTTTTGTTCATGTCCATAAATACTTAAAAGCTCGTTTTAATTTCAAGCATGTTTAACAGTGAGGTGCTAGTTCATTCATCACAATAGAGCTAGTTAAATATGCAACAATGTGATAATTCAATTAATGTAATTTATAAATATCCATTAAAATATCAAAACTGGAATCAAAATGAGACATTTGGCAGCACAAAAAACTTGTCAAACACAATATTTATTATAATAATTGTAGGCAGACAGGAGACAGAGCTGATGGAGGTTCTCAGTCATCGAAGGATGGCTGAAGGCTTTCCAGGAACAGGAGATGTGGTGCTGTCTCTTCTCTCTCTATTCTGCCAGATGAGCTGATAGGTTACAGGTGTGTGAGGACATCCTCATGCTGTCACAACCAGATGACAGGAGTTATCAGGTGATCAGCCAGGCTAATGATGAGATGCAGAAAGAAAACAAATCCAGGACAGTGTACAATAATCTGTGGTGTTGTTCACCTTATGTGCTCTTCTAGAGTATTAACGTGTTCCTGCCTCATGGTGTAGAGTCCATATTTTGCTGAGTGTCCTGCAATAATGCAGGTTATTAATTTACTTTTTGATAGCAAAGAACAAAATATTTAATTTAAGTTATTTACCAGGTGAATCAGCTCACACGTCACCACCAAGTGTCACAGGGCCAGAATCAGTAGCCTCCTTCATGATGTCATGATGTAATCACATACATTTATTTAATTGTTAATATCTTAAAAATTCTGAAATTTTTTCTTTTTTTTTTCTTTTTTTTTTTTTTTACCTTGAACAGTTCACTGAGCTTGCACTGTCATTGAGGTGGAAGCTGGAATCAACAGCAGACACCTCACATCTTGGTCTTTTCAGGGGGTGTGGAAGTATATTAATGTCGATGTGCTGAACTACCGCTAACCGTCCTACACTCGCTTGCAAATCCAACTCGCCACAAGGCGTGGCCGAGACTCTCGATGCTTTTATAACTTTGACACAGCTGCTACGTAGTACTCTACTGCTTTACGTAGTATCTTGCTCTTTAGCCATTGGCTAAAGTGTATTCAAAATGACTCAAACTCTGTTTTAAGCTGAAGGTGGCGCTATGCTGTGGTATTTAGGCAGAATTTTTAAAGAAAATGCACCAAAATGCTAAAATAATGAATACACATATTTAAAACACTATTAGATACTCATTTATACAGTTCATCAGCAACAAAAAGCTAATTTAGACGTTACTTGCTCTTTAAACATTTATAAATGTATGAATAAAATAGTGAAAATATGACAGAAAAATTAACTTTTTTTCCCCTTATGATAGACTAGATAACCCAAAAATATTGATGTTAAATAACTGACTTTACAAACAGCACCCCATAACTGTCTTCAAATATTTATTGATTTATTGCTTTTGTTAAACATTTTTCCCCTGAAGCTGACGAGTGGAGAAGTGTGGGTGCAGTTTAACGACGGCTCTCAGCTGGTGGTTCAGGCAGGCGTTTCCTGCATCACGTACACGTCACCAGAGGGGAGGATCACAAGGTAAGACACAAAAATGTCAGTAAATACTTTTGCTAAAACAAAAACTATTTGTCCTCCTGGTTCTAAGAAGTGTTTCTTCTACAGGTATAAGGAAAACGAGAAGTTGCCAGAGCACGTAAAGGAAAAGCTGCACTGTCTCTCGACGATTCTCGGACTGCTGGCAAACCCATCAGCACGCCACCTCCCAACTCATTAACACATCCTGCAAAGAAACTAGCATTAGATACCTTCATGAGCCCCTATTCTTTACTGTTCTTGTAAATATACCCTCTAATGTGTTGGTCGTTTTTACGTGTACAGATTATTATTATAAGAGTTTTATTTTTAATATGTGACTGTTGTACAGTGTCTAAAACAACCCGTTAGATAAGTTTCCTTGTTTTTATGTCTTAAAAGCAATGAACTGAGTGGATGTGACTAGAATAAACATCTAGAGGCTGGGTGGAGATACTTGGCACCCTGATGTGCTCCTATTCCTTTTAAACAATTAATTTATATTTTAAAAAAGAAGGAAAATAAAACATTTAGAGATGATGGTTTCAATGACATAAAAAGTACAGACAAGTCATACCAGAGGTGTCATGTTTATTCCGCCGGTTGAATTGGCCCTTTAATTTAAAAAAGGTCAAAATTGTGTATTCTTAATTACAGAACTTATACAAAACATACTGTACGGATGTAAGCCTAGGTGCGTATAAACATTGTACAAGACACCCAAGAAGTAAACAAGGAGCTGGGAGCATGACACCGTTCGGTGCAGGAATATGTTTGGAATAATTATTTACCATTTAGATCAGTAGGGAACACAGAGTGGTGTGCAAAAATAATCAGCCTTTCAAGAATGAACAAGTGAGGAAACACTCCAAATTCCCTTAAACCCGTTGCACAATAGAATTTTTTTTCCTCAGTTTGAGAGATCAGGAAGTAGACGATTAGATCCGACCACAGATGCTCAAAATCTTTCATTCATATAAAACCTTTTTTCCCTTCATAAAATCTCAATAAAATAGTTATTCTTAGAATATGTCAAGACAAAAAGTCTTGACTGGAGTAAAAGGATCTCACAGTGAACACTGGGAACAAGAGCTAGACCTCCCACCGCTTTTTACAAAACGAAACAAAAAGTGACAAATTCAGCAGCTGAAAGAAAACTGGTCCGAGATCTGAGTTCAGAGCTGTCGGGCTGGTTACTGGATGCTAAATTTGCAGGAAAACACTGCGTTACAATACAGCTGAACAATGAATAAGCATTTATTATCCAGCTTTTATTGGTAGTTTTGCACACATTTATACTTATTTAATCTTTATCCAGGGGAAAAAACATCCATTAAAATAAAGATCTCAATTGTGTGGGAGCCCATTCCTGCCACTAATAAAAAATATCGTATAAATATGATATATTCTCATAAGATACCAAGTTATAATTATGGGATAGCATCTCATAACTATGACTTGGCTATCTATTATGAGAGAAAAACATCGGCAGTAACGGGCTAACCCCTAAACCTAATCCTACCTACCCCCCCACCCCCAGGGTCAATTTATGCAGCAGCTCCAAGTTTACCATTTGAAGCTTATTCCTGTTATAAATGGAATAAAGAGAAACGAGTGTTTATGGAGACTGGGATGTGAGGAAATTCACAAGACCTCACTGGAATATGGAAGAATGGAATTTTTCTGCAAAAAAAAAAAAAAGGAATGCAATCCTAGCCATCAATGAAACTAAAACATGTCTGTTGGGAGGACGTACAGAAAAATCAGAACCTTTAGGTGTGAAAGCGACAAATCAATGAAACAAAACTTGGTCACATGATCATGAAGATGTCCTTTTGCTGTCCCCGGTACAAAGTAAAATTGATGGCACTCAGAAAAACAAACAAGTTTGTTCAGAATGATCCGACCGCATAGTCCTCTGCTCTCGTTTGCAGCCTGAGATCTGTGGAATAAAACTCAAATGCCCGGTTGTCTCCTCACCCAAAACTCCCAGAATCTTCAGCGGCTTCAACCAGAACACGTGTCAGTGGCGTGATTTGTCTCGGCGTAAACGTGCCTGCGTCTTTGTGTGTGTGTGTGTGTCAGTCATACATTGCACATTTAGCGGGGTGTTCTCGAGTCCTTCCCATTAGCTACCTCATTTGGACCCTTTAACTACAGATCTCACACACAGAAAAAAAATAAATCAGCTGTTAGTCGAGAGTTCCCAAAAGTTCACATTACAGTACTGTTAACGTCTCATTGGACCAAAAAAAAAAAAAAACCCAAAAGGCAGAGAGGAGAAAAAAAAACTTACATCCAATCACCAAATATTTTCATTAACTATAGGAAAAGGCTTATATTTGATGGGATACAATATTAACTTAATTACTATCATTATTTATTATTATCATTATTATTACTGTCACCACTGGAATTTTGTTCAGGAATCAAACGGGAGGGGTCGAGTCACTGGGAGGATGCCTTGGTAGCTATCGTAGACACACAGTGCTGCTGAAAGTTGGGAGACACGGCCGAGTTGCAGCCCAGTCTCTGCAGCTCTTTCCCCCTCATGCTGCCGCAGCAGGCTGGGGACAGCGGGGCGGCGCTGGGTACCGCAGCGCTCACCGGCAGGGCCTTGGGCTGCTCGCCGGAGGGAGCAAAGTCAGGGTTCTGGCTCTGGAGTACGCTGGTTATGTGGTTCAGCAGGTCGTTGAAAAACTCCGGGACACCCTCATAACCTGGAAGCACAGCAGCGACTAAAATGTGATCTTTCTGGATTCTTGGAGAATTTCTTCAGTCCATAAAAAGTAAACACTTACTTACCTGGAAATGCATTGATGTCGATGACGGCGTGCTGTCCCGTCTGGTTGTTGATGATTACGTCGATGCCGAACAGCGACACGCCCAGCGCCTCCCTCAGCAACCTGGACAGCTCTCTGATGACATCATCATTGGGTGGTTCAGACACTCCCTCCACATTCTCTCTCTGAGAACAAAATGTTTGGAGATTTTTTTTTAACGAGAAAGCTCAGAAAAAAACAAAAAAAGTAAAAGAGTCAGAGTCTTACTGAAGTCAAATCGGAGGACGACTCCGGTTTGGAGACATTGTGGCTGTTGAAGAAAATGGCTTTCCTGTCTGAAAAAGACGAGACAGGAAAGAGTCCGATTTTAGTGAAACAGTTCCCATCAAGGTCAGTAGGTAGCAGCAAGGCACCGCCAATGAAATCACGGGAATTAAAACGTCATCTTTTTAAGGAGAGTTGAAATAAAGAGGAAAGACAAAAACGTCAGAAACAGATCAGGGTGAGTTTCTATCCTGTGGTTTATTTTCATTCTCCAGAAGAAACAAAGAGGAGAAATTAAACACCACCATTGTCCAAATAAATAATTGTTGCAGCTCATATTTCAGTGATCACAGAAGCCCGTCTTCACCACCACGTTGGAAGAGTAAAATAACATCTTTACCACGGGAAGGTGGAAATAAAAGCCATCACCTCTGACAAATCTAACCTGTGTCTCTTTGATGCATCGTTTCCAACTGCTTTCTAGGCACAAAATGCTTAAAGCTGTGAAGGACACAAATTCAAACCCCGTGAGGTGGTTTTTGTCGTTTTGCAGCTGTGGCGTGCTGCTTTCTGTGTGTTTGATGTGTTCCCGTCTTACCCCTCAGCACCCCAGTCTGAAAGCAACTGTTCTCTGTGCACAGGCTCACGCAGCAGCCTACTGCACAGATGATGGAAATGGTTTGCATGAGGGCCTCTACTGTAACACATGCAAATGCTGGAGTCATCCGTTTCAGAGGACAGCCCTGTATTCAAAACACATCACTAGTAAAGCTGCTGACCTGTTTATGAGGAAAAGCCTTCCTATCCGTGTTTACTTCCAAAAGCATGCACAGACGGGATAAAACTGCCGCGCCCCTTAAAAGGGCAAAAAATAAAAAAAGGTCCAATCACGGGGACTATAAAATCGTTTTACGAGCTCTTTTATTGGGTGATTTGAACAAGCTGTGCAGACGGAGCAGGTTAGCAGTCTGCAGCCCTTTGGACTCGTTTGTACTCCGCTCACCTGCAGGTCCTGAGGGGAAGTTCTTTAGCGAGGGTCTCTCCACCACCGTGTAGGACTCGCCCACCACAAACACCTTGTAGAGTACTGCGTTGTGGTTGATGAAGCTCTGGATCACACAGGGAGGCTTGACGTCCTTCAGGTCCTCCTCATTGAAGATAATGGCCATCTGTGGACGGGAAGACAAACGAGCTCTGCTGCTCAGAAACGGTTTAAAACTAGTTCAAGCAGAACTTAATTAAATGAGTAAAGGGGGCGTACTGAAGTGTATTTTTATGAAACTGTGCAGGGTGTGATTGACCTTTGAACCCTGCAGCCTCTTACCTCATGGGAGTTGGTGCCATGAGCCACCCGCGTTTTGCAAACTGAAGACAATAAAGTTGACAGGAAAAAAATATGAGCTACTTCAAGTGAGAAATTAAAGAAATAAAAACACAACTTCCACCTTTTTGAGACAAAACCTCTAAGAATTTCTCTAATTGAGGCCAACTTGTGTCCTGATGGTTTAAGATGGAGTCACTCACTGAAGGGGAATGTGAGACCTTGCTGCTTGATCTGCTCCAAAACATCTGGGCTGCACTCGGTGTTCAGAACCATGAACGGAGGAGAGCAAATCCTCTCATCTGAGAGAAATAACAGTAAAAACACATTTTAAAAATTGGATTCAGCAATATAAAATATTATAAGACTTCAGAAAAAAACTGGTTTTATCCAAGATTTTAAAAAAATCCACAAAAATCATCGACTCTTTTTCATTAATCGGTGCTTTTATTTTGTTAAATGATCCAACTTGGCTAAAAAAAAAACCCATAATGGATAACTTCAGTTTAAGTGAATACGTCTGGGTCCATTTATGTTTTGTTCTTGTGACATATTTGCAAAACAAACACAGTGAAGTCCTCGTCATTCCTCGTCGCAGAACGCTTAGTCATGTTTCTGTTGCTTAAGAAACCATTAGGTCATCACCTCCAACTTTATCTCAACTCTTATCTCAGAAAATATCCTCACCGGAATATTCAGGCTTAGTGCTTCCTAAACAAGGAAATGTGCTTATTTTTAGTTCCTAATAAAATGGGAAATCTACTCCTACAAGTCAAGAGATCCATCAACGGCAAATGAAACAAAAGGGGCGTGGCGTTATTAAAGAAACATTTAAGCCTTTGCTCAGCTGACTTAAACAAAACTGGTTATAAAGATTTAAAGGCGCAGTAGGAGATGTTGTTCAGGAATTTAATTTTGTTTTTGCTTTATAGCTTGAAATGCTCAACGTAATGATGGCAGCCAAATAATTAAATGTTTTGTCAAAAAAGGAAAGTTTGACATGCACAATCTAGAAAAATCCTCATCCAATCATTATGAACGTCCCATTCTTAATGATTGGACCCCCCCCCCCATCAAACTGCCTTCTGACCATCCCCTATAATCTGCGTGCTCTCTGCTTGGAGCGGTTGAGCAGGAAGCAGAGCCAGATCCGGGCTAGCCATTTTAGCTAGAATACTAAACTGTTACATGGTTACATTGTAGAAGTAGCGGAGGGGATTTTCCAAGGAGTGTGTCAGAAGTCTGGAGGCTCCGCAGAAAAAGGTGCAAACAACCGGTCGCAAATTAAAGATGTTGTCATGTTTTTTATTGTTATTTCACATCGTTTACTGTTTTTAGACCGAAATTGCAATTTCGTCAAACGTTATCGTCAAAGTTGCATTTTTTGTTGTTGTGTCCCTGACTGACCCAGGATCTGTTGTGTCGATGTGACACATCCGGGGTTTTCTGCGGTGTTACGACGACGGCGGCAATGATAATGGCTGTGGCCTTCCGTCTCTGCCGCCAATGTTCTGTTCGTCTCTCAGCACTGTGGGTGAGTGAGGGACAGAAACGGACTGATTCTGATGCAATTCTGGGGGCGTGGCCTGTAGAAGGAGCCAGAAGAAAGGGGGCTGGATCTTTGAATTCTCTCTTTTTTTTTAAACTGTAGCTTTCCTGAACGAAATTTCCGAAGAATGTTGACTCCGCCTTTAAACACCACATCCTTTAAGCAGCTTGATAAAAGATAAAATAACCAAAGCAGCTTTGACACAAATCTCCACATCAGGGCTCAGGATGCACTTATAGACACGGCTCGGTTTTTATTAGTGGCGCTCCATCAGTCCCTGTCAATACGCAGATAAGCAGGAGGGATAAAGCATCAGAAACATCACCACAGGAAGTCAGATACTGTCTTTGATACTAGAAAACCAAAATTCACCCCAGCTGAAGACTTTTTACATGATTTGCTTTCCGGCTCCTGAAACAGTCCTACTTGTCCTCATCCACAGGCAGATTGCCTGCCTACCGCCCGCCTGCCCAGAGCAGCTGGGTCCGTTCCAGCTTGAGCTCTCTAACCAGGCGGTGCTGAAAGCAGGAAACCTGGAAGTTTACCCATCCGTCATCTCTGCCCCTCACGCTGGTGTTATTCCACCAGGACAAGAATAGCAGCTTAATGTCTCACAGAAAACAAACGGATGAACGGGGAAACATCCCCCGTTACATCACCAGCTTCCCAAAGGCTGCTGGTGTTAAAATATGTCAAAACAAAGCCCACCCGGAGATCTAAACCCTGTCAAAAGAAAATCAAGGTCCAAGCTAAGGAGGACCGTTGGAGGAGAGCGCGGCCAAGTTTTTAACGGCGTGAAGGCCTGGCTCTGGTTGATGCTTTAGGGACACAGACTGGTGGGGAGGATCAATCTCTGGCTCTGTCTAAACACTGCATGCCTGCAGCAGACCAAGCGGAGCCAGGGCCGACATTTACTGGACTCTACATCGAGATGCATTTTTAAGGTTATTATATAATTACTCTTTATTACGCTTCTTTAAGGCATCGGTTTATCTGACATTTCCTCATTTGTCCACTTACAGTTCAGAGTTAACATAACGGAGACTTTGCCTCACACCTAAAACGCAGGTCTCCGTTTTGGTGGAGGGCGACGTTCGGGATCCTGGCAGCCAGCCTTACTTGACTCTTTTGTTTAGGTGAAACGCTTGTTGCTATTTAGAGCTCGTTTCCAAGAAACAAGCGCAGCTCTTTCCTCCGAGGCTCTTTAATTTCCTAAATTGAACCCCATACATGGCTTTGCCCAAGGGTAATCTTAACTTGGTGTACAAGAGGCTTAAACTCCATTTAGATTTAGTAGTTTTTTCTTATGAATGAAAGCTTTCGTTCTTCTTTAACCCAGAGGCAAAACAAAAAGAGTACGTTTACTCAGATGGAGCTTGTTTAGATTTAAAACCATTGTCACCGACTTAAGGTTTAAGTCTGACCCAAAGGAATGCGTTCAAGGCACGTCTTATCTCATGGTGGAAAGAACTCTCCTTTAAGGAAGAGGTGAGCTGATGACAGTTTGTGTCTATAAAAACATCCCTGTAAACACAGGAACCAGTGGATCCCACTGAGCAACACACACGTCTCACACAGGAAACATAAACCCAAGATTCACAACAAACAGCTCTAAGCTTCCAGATAGGAATCAATGACAGTGATCCGTTTGTGCTTGTGGCGTCAACACCTAAATCACGTCCTTACCATCAATATTAACATTTTGGAACGGAGCAGCCATCGGGCTGCGAGTCCTTTTGGCATTGAGAGGGTAAAACAAGGCTCACTTCTCCAGAGAACTGACGAGCACACCTCAAGCGCTTCCTCCTGTTGAATTCTGAGTCATGCAGCCTCGCTCTGGGTTGCCTTGGCAGCTGACACAGGACTTTGTGGTCTCCTATGATGAGGAGGAAGTAGCCGAGGTGAAGACCACCATCTTCTGTTCTACCCTAACGCCGTTCTCACCCTCACTCTTGTTTTAGTGCCGACATTTGTCCTTTGCCACGTGACCACGATGCACCTCTAGGATACGATCACGATGGCTCATACTCCATATGTTTGGTATAAAAACAGGATATTCTTATGAATACAGCGGTTTTCCACTTCAAACAGAGAAAATCGCAGTGATGCTGCTTATTCTAGTTACGCAACGGCCGTCACGTCTGTTTGGATCAAAAGTCCTCTTCTTATGGTTCTATTTTAAGAAGGCAGCGACAGAGCCGACCTGCTGAAAGGACGCTGATCCACTACTCTCACACCAGCCTGCAGCCCCTCACACACCCGCCAGAGGATGCTTTGTGTTCAGAGGTGATGGAAGTGAGGATGAGTCACAGATTTTTTTCATCGCACTTTAAATCAAGAATGTGATTTATGAGTTGAAAACGCCGCCCGCCTACTAGATCCCATAAGATCGCTGTTAGATGAAAACTCACATTGTATAAATGTAAGGATGATCGATATTAGGGCTGCACGATATTAGGAAAACCTGCAATATTCGATAACAATGATTAGTATTGCGATGACGATATTACTTGCGATAAATAAAAACTTATCTCAGGAACAAAAATAATCAAAAACAAGGAAATAAAAAAATCATAAAAATGAGAAAAGCAAATGATGTGAGGAAAGGAACACGAAAAGGCAACCAGTGGATCCCGGGAAAAGCAGAATCAGCAAAAAGAGCAGAACAAAGCTAACTACTCAGGTGTTTGCTAACCATCAAAATGAAGTGCCATCCACCTCGGGGGCGGGACTCTAACCTATGAGAACCCACCCAATTGGCCAAATGGGTGAAGAGCTCTATTTGATTTGTTAAAAAACATCATGCTTCCATTTGATTGACAGAATGCGTTATGTGTAGCAAACATTTGAGCTGACCATTCATTGCGATATTTATCTGTTCTTTGCGATATGCATATTGTGCATGCTGATATCGCGATAACGATATAGTTACGATATATTGTGCAGCCCTAATCGATATTATCGATCTACCATTAAAATCAGCCGATATCGACATTAAGATGTAATACTGGAAAAATCTTTATCTGTTTTCAGTCTTTTAATGACATCTTTGACATTTCACGCACACATTATTCAAACTCTTTAACTACATCTCCTCTCTCTCTCAAAATATCAAAACACGACAGATCCGAGGTAGATATTTTTGTCTATTTGGCACAGCTGGCTTAATTAAAACTGATAAATATGCGTGATGTTAGTGACCTAAAGTTATTTTTTAATGAGGGGAGACTACACACATATTGGCATTAGAGGGTACATCGATTAAAAAAGCAGATGTCGAACATCCCTCCCTACCTTGCATGCATTTCTCTAGTCTGTGGATGAGCTGGTAGGACTTGCAGCGGTCCAGCAGTGTTCGGATGGCTGGAAGAGGGTCCAGGACTATGGTCTCAGGGTGTGCATCGATGTAATCCTGCAGACGAGGAGACAAAAATATAATTCCCAAATTCATTCTCACAGGAAACATCCTGGTGTCCAACTCCAGCAGGCATCACGAGAGACACAGGGGACGCCCTGGACAGATCGCCAGTCCATCACATGTCTCATTGAATCCAGATTGTCATTCCTGGATCCGCGCCAACTACTAGACAGGTCTGGTTCTTGTTTGCATAATAAGTCAAACAAAAGCTGCTTTGCATGATCATAAACATCAAGTATTTGCGTTCCAGCCAACAGGAAAGGAGAGAAGTGTGACATCACAGATGTCATTCATGAAAACATGTAAGTTGTAACTTATTTTTGCCCCCTCCAGCACGACAGTGCAATCACAAGAGCATTTACGCAAAAGTAAACCTCTTTAAATTGTTTTTACGCACAAAGACATGAAAATCCCAGCGCACAGATTAAAACGTGTGCAGCATAAACACAGATTTGAAGGGTCAACATGCTGGAGTCTGACATGTATGCTAGCGGGTCTGGAGGTTACATCACTGCGGTTAGGTCAGCATGCGGTTGGCTGTTTTACACAACTGCACAGCCCTTCCCTTCCCTTCTCCTCTCCAGCTCTGCTTTAGGGTTCCTGCACCTTACCATCATCCACGCTGACACGAGATGCCTAAAGCAATCTTTTGTGAAACAAACACGGAGGGTCCATCTGCAGGATTTACGGGGAACAGGCAACCCGCTGGTCAAACCAACAGAGCTGTTCCGCAAGTCATACCCACTTCATGTAAATATATACACTTCTAGGAGTTTGGAGGAACATTCCTTTAAACAACCATTACTTACAGATTCCTGCATCTCAGACGATGAAGAAAGAAAGACGGTGGGGGTGGGGGGGGGGGGGGGGGGGGGTGTAGTCTTCAGCAGGTGTACAAGAGCCAGACACACCAGTTTGGGTGTAGAAAGCTGCACATTTTGTTCATTTTTGGACTAAACGAGTCCTCAGATGAGAAGAAATTGCTTTAATTCCTAGAAAGTGTGTCTATTACAGCATATGCATTAAATCTAACATAAAAGGAAAAGTGCTGACATAAATCACCTCCAAGTAAGAGATTTACCACGAGTACATTT